TAAGGAAGAGGGATATTAATTAAGGGAGAGGGATATTAATTAAGGGAGAGGGATATTTCTTAAGGAAGAGGGATATTTATTAAGGAAGAGGGATATTAAGGAAGAGGGATATTAATTAAGGGAGAGGGATATTAATGGAGGCAGAGGCAGGTGCTGAGCTCCAGGGAAGGCTCGGTGATTCCCGCAGCTCCCAGGGAGCTGGAAGTGGACCAAGGCAATAATTCCCCAATTTCCTCAGGTTTTCAGAGGCTCTGGAATTGCCCAACCCTTGGGCAGGGGCTGGAACGGCCCGGATTGTTCCCGGGACAAAGGGAATCAGCGGGGCGTGGAGAACAGGGAGCAGCAGGGCCCGGTGACCCTCGGGATCCATCCCTCACCTCAGCTCCTCCAGCTCCTTCTTCTTCTTCAGCTCCTCCTTCTCCCTCCTCTTCATCTCCTGGATCTGGGCCTTCTTCTCGTTCCGCTCCTCCCGATCCCGCGCTTCCCGCTCGGCCGCCAGGTCCGGGAACCGCTCCACCTTCGTCTTCTCCAGCCGGTTCAGGATCTCGTTCACCTTCTTCTCCACTGTCAGCACCTTCACCTGGGAATGCCGGGAATCACAGAGGGAAACATGTTGGGAATCACGCCGGGAAACGTGCCAGGAGTGGGGAGAGGCCCCGGAACTGCTGCCCACCCGGCATGGGGCTGCATCCCACAAAATCACAGTCCCAGGAAAATCCCAGCCAAAAGGGCTGGATCCCACTGAACCAGAGCCTGGGGAGAATCCCTGTCACAGGGCTGCATCCCACAGAACCAGAGCCTGGGGGGAATCCCTGTCACAGGGCTGGATCCCACAGAACCAGAGCCTGAGGAAAATCCCTGCCACAGGGCTGGATCCCATAAAACCAGATCCTGAGGAAAATCCCTGTCATGGGGCTGCATCCCACAGAACCAGAGCCTGGGGAGAATCCCTGTCACGGGGCTGGATCCCACAAAACCAGAGACTCAGGAAAATCCCTGTCATGGGACTGGATCCCATAAAACCAGAGCCTCAGGGAAATCCCTGTCACAGGGTTGGATCCCATAAAACCAGAGCCTGGGGAAAATCCCTGCCATAGGGCTGGATCCCATAAAACCGGAGACTCAGGAAAATCCCTGTCAAAGGGCTGGATCCCATAAAACCAGAGCCTGGGGAGAATCCCTGTCACAGGGCTGGATCCCACAAAACCAAATCCTGAGGAAAATCCCTGTCACAGGGTTGGATCCCACAGAACCAGAGA